AGTTAGCGTAATGGCTATGTCGCTGGACTCCCATGTAGTCGACCGTGGTTTGCGTCCCGGACCCGGTGGCTTAAAAAAACTCACGCTGGGCGTGTGTGCGTGTGTGCCCAGGATCCTGAGAGGAGAACGGAGGAGAAGGGATTGCGGCGTGGCCATCCCCCCCAGGGTGATTTCTTGCTTTCTCTCTGTCTCTCTCTGTCTGTCTGGTGAGCACACACGCCCTATAGCAAAAACATCTCCAAAACATAAAAATTAAAAAAGCAATTCTGCCCCAAATATAATTCATCATCCAACTGTTATCATTAGAAATTTCTCATTACAATAAAAAATTGGGGTACTTTTTTTCTTCAAAGCAATTCTCTTATAGTTAGTAAGCACTAAATGCCATTACTAACAGCGGTATGACCATTTAATAACTACTTTATAAAATAAAAAGTTAATTATGAGCTAATCTTGCAGATAACTATTGCTCACCTAGGATAGGTCAATATTTGAGTTAAATGAAGTAGAATATGCTGTGATTTTCCAATTTTTTCTACTCATGTGAGTTAAGAAGGCAGCTAATTAATATTTTCTTATTTTAAAAACTTGCAAAATATATTAGCTTAGGAAGTAAACCATCTAGTATACTTACTTCCAGTACTGTTCGCTGGGAAGTTGCCCTGGATGAAAAACTTCACTGCCATTGATGCAAGTGAGACTGTTGGCATCTACCCAGCTTTTATTCATTTGGACGATCCCCATTCCTGTACTCACATTACAGTGAGTTACTAAAAAGGATGAAAAAAAAAAACATAGACTCAGAGGCATACTTAGTTTCAGAAGAGAACTTTTCTGAAACAAACAAAAAAATTTAGTGATTAAATATTTTAATTATCGTCAAGGGGCCAGCAGTTGGCATGGTGCTTAAGACACTGGACTCTTACATGGCCGACTGTGACTCAAGTCCTGGACCTGGCAGCTTGAAAATTATGCTGGGTACCTGTGCATGTTTGCCCAAAATCTCAAGGGGAGAATGGAGGAGAAGGCTTTGTGGCATGGTCATCTCCCCTGGGGGAGTGATTTCTCACTTTCCTTTTCTCTGTCCCTTTCTCTAGTGAGCACATGCCACTCTAGGACAAAAACCTTAAAAAATAAATAAATAACAGTCAGAATTGTTATTTGGTGACAATGGAGTAGATACCTTATAAATGGAATAAGCCATGAACATTTAGCCTCTTAAATCTCTACTGCTAAGCTGGTATGAGTAAATCATAAGGCTTTTAAACTATTATTTTATTTATAGTAACAACAGCTATAGAGTAAAAATTGTTTCAGTTGGGATTTAGGGCTCTAAGGAACTTTTAGCATGTGGACTTATTTATTAATCTAACCTATATAGGTAAATAGATGCCTTTAAATTTCTCAAAAGCATCAAATCTTGGGACCAGCAGTTAGCATAATAATGGCTGTGTTGCTGGACTCCCATGTAGTCGAGCACAGTTTGAGTCCTGGACCTGGTGGCTTAAACTCACACCGGGCGCGTGTGCGTGCATGCCCAAGATCCCAAGAGGAGAATGGAGGAGAAGGGATTGCAGCATGGCCATCCCTTCTGGGGGGTGATTTCTTGCTTTCTATCTCTCTGTCTCTGTCTGTCTGGCGAGCGCACATGCCCTATAGCAAAAAAAACCTCTCTCTCTCAAAAAAAAGCATCAAATCTTTATAATAGTCTAGGGGCCAGCAGTTAGCGTAATGGTTATGTTGCTGGACTCCCACGTAGTTGACCGCGGTTCGAGTCCCGGACCCGGTGGCTTAAACTCACACCGGGCGCGTGTGCATGTGTGCCCAAGATCCTGAGAGGAGAATGGAGGAGAAGGGATTGCGGCGTGGTCATCCCCCCTGGGGGGTGATTTCTCGCTTTCTATCTCTCTGTCTCTCTCTGTCTGTCTGGCGAGCACACGCACCCTATAGCAAAAACCTCTCCAAAAAAAAGAAAAAAAAATCTTTATAATAGTCTACATTACTGATGTTACATTGTCCCAACATGGATAAAAACACAGATAGCACATTTCTCTATCACTTTCCCATTTTTTTTTCCTTCTTTCCTGGCTAGGCCTTAGGCCTATGAGAAGTATTCTTAGACATGCCCTTAGAGATTACTATAGCCACATTAATTTTCAGATTATATACTCTATATTCTGCTTTCCCCAGTGACCTACGGACCACTTACAATTGTTCCTAAATTGTTTAGAAAATAACTTAACCATTTAAGCCTATTTAGAAAGCATAAACAAGTGAGGTTGGCAATATTTTAAAATATATACATGAGTTTTACCTATAGGTGATCTGCTACAGTTTTCATCAGACCAATATGAACAATTTTTCCATGGTAGTTCACTTCGAAAAGAAGCAAACATATAGTAAAGGCTATAGGCAATTATGACATTGTAATATATTGTCACAAAAATGGATATCAGGACCATTGTAATTCCCACACCTGGAAAACAGAACAATTAAAATTTATAAATCAAATGAAAGTTCTTTGGTTAATTCCTTTTTTAAAAAAGCTACATCTCAATTTCCACAAAATCTATTTTAAAATGAAAATACTGTTTCAATTAACTCCTTTTTTCTTTTCTTTTTTGGCCAGAAAAGAGGGGATAATACTCTCTGAGTAGCTTTCTTCCCAAATTTAAAATTATTTTGATGACTGGCTTCCTGAGACATATTTTTAGTTGAGTAGAAAAATGTATTAAGGTCAAGAGGCTAATACCTATATTAAGCCTAAACTCACATAAAGGAAAACTCATGCCTATTACTCTTTTTTATTAAGTCTGTAAGTTCTTACTGGAGGGGACAGTGTGAGCATTTAAGAAGAAAAATTCAAAGCTAATATTCTATTGACTCACTGACCAATACTTGCATCTTTATCTATAAACCAATGTTTCGACAAGCATAAAATGAAGTATTTAAATGAATATCCTGAAAGGACACTGTATAGTAGATCTAAAAATACTTGTAAAGAAAATTCATTCAGGACCAGCAGTTGGTGTAATGGCTATGTCACTGGACTCCCATGTAGTCAACCACAGTTCAAGTCCCGGACCCAGTGGCTTAAACTCACGCCAGGTGAGTGTGCATGTGTGCCCAAGATCCCAAGAGGAGAAAGGAGGTGAAGGGATTACAGTGTGGCCATACCCCCTGGGGGGTGATTTCTCACTTTCTGTCTCTCTGTCTCTCTCTGTCTTTCTGGTGAACACACGCACCCTATAAAAAAACCTCTCAAAAAAAAAAAAAAGAAAAAGAAAAAGAAAAAAAAGAAAAAGAAAGAAAATTTATTCAACACTAATCTTAATTTAAATATCCAAAGTTTCTTTTACTCAGTAGTTTTAAAATGAGCCTAGCATACTGACTATAACTCCTTTTTGAGATGAGCTTTTGAGGCAGCTTCACCAACCTTCCAGCACAATATTCTGTTCATCCCGCTATTAATTTATTTTTAATGCCTCATGGAGGCTTTTACAAATAGTTTTCAGCAGCTAGCACATACCAAAATGATATCTAATCTTCAAACAGAAAGGCAGTTTGATGTTTAATAACAATCAAGGCATTTTTTTAAACTTTACCAGTGTCCTCTTGTATTAGGAGCATCCAAGAGAAAATAGTGACCTGCCTTTCAACTTTTCTGAATGAGGCATTGTAAAAGATATGCAAAGGCAGTAAGACAAAGACTGTGCATGAAGTAGAGAAAACCCAGAACCCTGAAATTAGTGCACAGCAGGACTCAAGAGGTGAAAATGGAAAATAATGCCACATGACCACCTCTAATGTCCTTCCTAACCCTTCCCATATATGCAATCCAGGATAAACAGAAATAAAAATTAATATTCAGCTATTATACTCTACAGTGGCAAACTTTACAGAAAAAAATACATGCATGCTTCTTTGCCTTAGTATGTCAGAATTCTAAACACTTTTTCTTCCATGTGGTGAAGGTAGTCATCTGCACAAACAGACCCATAACCATGAGGTCTTACAAGAGCACTTTAGGGCTGGCAGATGGGTGGTAGTTAAGTGTACTGGACACCCACGTGACCTATTGCAGTTTGCGTCCCAGACCAGGTGACTTGCATTCTTATTTTTCCTCTCTCTCTCTCTCTCTCTCAGTCTGTCCCTCTTTGGTCAAATTAAAAAATAAGTAAATAAATAAATACAGTTAAATAAAACAATTCTCAAAAAGAGAGAAAGAAAGAACATACACTTTAATAATACCAACCTTGAAACAATGGAAGAATTCTCCAAACTGAAACTGGACCTAAGCTAGCAAATTGTCCCAATGAACACTCTAGGAAGAACAAAGGTAAACCAGCCAATGCTAGCATAATTGCATAAGGTATCAAGAAGGCACCTAGAAAAGAAAAAAAAAAAAAAGAACAAAAATGCTATTACGTCTCAAAATCTTGATAACACTGAGAACCAGCATAATCTTTTATTCATTTGTTTTCTCAGTGTAACATTTTAAAAGCATGTTGATATAATGGAGTCAGAAAATGCTGGGATGGGTCCCAAATTTACTACTTTCTGTGAGAAAGTACTTGATTTTCTAAACCTTTGATTTGCTAAGCTATGAAATTATAATGCTAGTGTTACCTACTGAGGTTGCTGTGATTATTACAAACACTAAACTATAAAAACCCAGAGGAGTTTAGAACCAGAAGGACTTAGGTTAAAATCTGGGCTCCATCATTCACCAGTTACGTGACCTAGGGCAGTTTACCTAACCTCTGAACCTTGAGTTCCTTGTAAAAGGAGAAAACAATACCAGCTCATCAGTTTGCGGTAAGGGTTCAAATATAGGGCCAAGGTGAAATCACTTGGCAAAATGACAAGCATGTAGCATAAGCTCAACGTTAGTTCCCTCCTCTTTCTCTTTTAAAAATAGTCTATTTTTAAGACTTAGGGTGCAAATGGTAAATGTGATTTAGAGTGGAGGTTATTGCAATTAAGTTCCTTATTCTGCAGTCACCATTTTCTTTGCTCAATGTTAATAAGAAATATATTGGTTTAGTTGAAAAATTTTAACTTTTGAGATATATTCATAGTTAACTTTCAATTTCATAAGGAATAATTCTCCCACATCAGATAATCTTAACTACCCTTTTTTTATTTTTTGGAGAGGTTTTTGCTATAAGGCGTGTACGATTGTCAGAAAGCGAGAGGTACAGACAGAGAGACAGAAAGTGAGAAATCACTCCCCAGGGGGAATGGCCACATCACAATCCCTTCTCCTCCATTCTCCTCTTGGGATCTTGGGCACGCATGTACACCCGCCCGGCATGAGTTTAAGCCACCAGATCCAGGACTCAAACCATGGTTAACTACATGGGAGTCCAGTGACAGCCATTAAATCAACTGCTGGTCCCCCCCCCCTTTTGCTTTTAAAGAAACGTCTATTGTTTAACTCTTTCTTCCCACTTGGGAAGCATAATACTGTTCATTAGCACCTCTCCCACATAATAGGCTGAAGGAGGAATAAAGAGTTAAACTAATATTTTAAAAGTCTTGACAAACTTTTAGTAAGAAAAATATGGGGAATTTGTGAATAAAAATGGTCTTTGGTATTATGTACATCTCATTTACCCATGTTACAGATGTTCCTAATTTGTTTTTTTTCTATATATTGATACAGTAATATCATACTTGGGAATTATATTTTTTCCAACCCTCAAAATATATTCCACTAGAAATGAGACCATAAAGCACATATTATGTAATCATAGCTCAGTGGCTTTACTTCAATGTTAACCCTGGAAGTCACTAGATCATAGGGACAAATATGTATGTGTATATGTATTGAGATGTATATTCCATCATTATTATAACTAATGGAAATTAAAGCTATTTTATTTTCTAATTCTGCTGACCCAAACCTTAAGGTGCTATGACACTTCTCTTTTATAAACTGCTAAAAAGAATCTACAGATAAAAATGTTTCCATATTTTAGCAATAATTTTTCAAACCTAATCATATTTTAAACCCGATCTATTAACATTTGATAAATTTGAATTTCATGTTCTTCTTCTACTCTTAAGCAAGACAGAGAAGCAATCAAAAAAACCTAGATGATTCATTAACCAAACTATGTGACTTTAAAAACTGAAAGCCAATATTGCATATTAACTTTTAGAGACAATGCAAGAAAAAGATAATAGCACATATTAACTAATACTATTTTGTTTAAGTTATGTTTTAAAATTCTTTATTAAGATAAATTTAGGGACCAGCAGTTGGCATAATGGCTATGTCACTGAACTCCTATGTAGTTGACCGCGGTTCAAATCCTAGACTCAGTGACTTAAACTCATGCTGGGCACATGTGTATGCGTGCCCAAGATCCTGAGAGGGAAATGGAGGAGAAGGGATTGTGGTGTGGCCTTCCCCCAAGGGGGGGTGATCTCTCGCTTTCTGTCTCTCTGTCTCTGTCTTTCTGGTGAGCGCGTGTGTCCCATACCAAAAACCTCTCCAAAAAAGTGTAACATAATTTCTAGAAATATGTCAATTCTGGGCCTATATATGATGTCAAGTCACAGGGAATTTCTTATTCTAAACATGAATATGAAAAGCTCAAAAGGGGCTTGACTGTGTCTCTTTACCACACTAGACCTTATAATATAATACCAAAAAGACTGTGATTTCTGAATAAGTTTCCCACTAATACTTATACCAAACCTATTATTGAAAACCTTAGGTTCTAGGTAGAGAAATATATAATACCAACCCTTAAAGTGTATAATAAACATAACTTCTTTCTTTAGTCTTTGAAGCCCAGTGTGAATGTTTTAATGCAACCAATGAACAGTAAATAAAAAATTGAAATATCACCACACGAAATACTACTGTACAAAGAAAAATAATTATAGTGGCATAGTTTCACTGCTACCCAGTTATGAAATAGAAGGGCATGTCATTTGTACACTTCTAATAGAACCTATAATTACAAGTAACTAAAATATGGTGTAAGTGAAAAGTTGTTTCAACATTACTAGAGAATTGTGCAATTCATTTTGTTTCCTTTTATGTGTCACCTCAGAGTTATTTTTTCCCTCATAATTCTAATTGAGTCTACTTAATTATCCACAAGATACAAACAGTAGTTTTGCAGGAATAAAACACCTAGCTTTGAACAAAACTCTACTGTATTTTAGAAGGTTCTTCTACATGGTCCATACAATCTGGAATACAGTGTCTGTAAGTGAATATTGCAGCTTAGAATACTAAACCCTTAACGACGTTATCATCTCTTTCCACACTTAAATTACCAAAGTGTAATGCCTTATTCTAATTAAGCAAACTATTTATTTGCGTTTCTTAATAGAACTAGTTTTCTCTGCTTTTTCCTTATATTCAGCTATAAAATAAGCAAAATACAACTTGAGTCTAAACAGATTATCATAGGAACATGCATGAATTAGGGAGAGTAAATCATAGTTGAAGATTACACAGTATTTCAAATCAGAAGCTCAGAGTATTAAATATAAAATGCTTACCTACCAAGTTTATATCTGAGGATTTTATTAATACAGATTCCTAACCTGGGCTAGTAGCTCATGATCTGGTAATAAATGCATTATGCTCGTTTCCCACACACTAACCCAAACTATTGTATACCCCTCTTCATCTCTTTAAAATATTACCAGAGGGGTCAGCAGATGGCATAGCAGTCACATCACTGGACTCCCACATGGCCAACCATGATTCAAGTCCTGGATCCCATGGCTTGAAACTCATGCCAGGCGAGTATGCATGCATGCCCAAGATCCCAGGAGGAGAATGGATGAGAAGGGACTGCAGTGTGGCCATTTCCCCTGGGAGGTGATTTTTCACTTTCCCTCTCACTGTCTCTGTCTTTCTCTTTCTGGTGAGCACACACACCCTCAGGCAAAAGCCTCTAAATATATGTATATACTTATATATAATATAAACACATATTATAT